AGCCGAGCCGAGCCGAGCCGAGCCGAGCCGAGCTATGGAAACAGGTGAAAGCTCCGAAACGTGTTTCGTAAAAAAGCATCGGTTAAGTGTGTTGCGAGAATATCTGCGCTCGCGCTATAAACGCGCACTACATGCAGCATGTCGAGGCGGCAACGGGTTATTGACGCGTTTCTGCGGAGTTGTGCCGACCGAGAGGAGGATGTAGAGATAGAGAGCCAGTCTGGCTGGAATGCGTACGTCTACGGTCTACGCGATACAGACGTACATACGTAAATATACGTGCACCACGACCTATACACGTACATTATATGCATGTATACACGTACACGTATACGTGTACATGTACACGTCGATGGGACTTGGTGTGCCAGGGAGTGAGAGTAGAACGCGCACAACGTGTGCAAGATAATTTAATGGGCAATAATCATGACACACATAGAATCGCGCATACACCTCCGTGGCCGCGCTTCGACTGTCGGAACGCGGGTCTATATTTTCTGCGCATGCGTACGATCGACTAACAGCTTCGTACCGAACTGCTCGCCACCCCACTTTCCTCTCTTCTCGTTTCTTCGTTGCTCTTTCCTTTTCCTTCCCTCTCTTTCCACTACTTTTCGAACGATACGCCGCACTGGGAACGGTTGGGTGCTGAACGTTCGGTAACTTAGCACTTTCGGTCGCTTCAACGATTTCCACTGAATTCGCTGAAACTCCGGATTGACCCGACCGCTAACAAACCTAGTAGCGTTTTCTCGCACGCTACTTCTCTTTAGATCGGCTCGAACACGTTGACTTTTATACCATCGCGACCGCTATAGTTTTTCGCTATAGAGAGAACTGGTATTCCAGCTTATTATTTTACAATTTTCTCAACATACGTTTGATAATTTGTTTGTCGAAAAGACCGGCAGGTATTTCAGCGTCGATGTTTTATCATCGTTATTGCGTAGATAACGCGTACAGCGTTCACTTATGCGTATCTCGTGTAATTTAAAGCACGTTGCCGTACAATTAATATGGCTAATTTTTATCCGATTACTGAAACGGGCTTAATTATATCGACTAATTGGCATATTCTTATTTCTTGATTATATTCTCGTGTCAATCTTTGAATCGTTTGAATCGAGCATTATTCGATATGTTCTAAGAACAGGGGTAAACATTTTTATACGAGCAAACATTCTGGCATCGTTGATAAATCCTATTAATAATATATCCAGCTTTTAATATACTGCAAATCAGCAAATTCGTGTAATAATAAATCCGATCTTTTTAACACACTTTTCGAAATGGAATGCTAGTACGTAATTACGTGCATGTAATTTACATCGATACATATTTACAGCGTGCGCTATCTTCTCTTACGTGTTTCGTATTTTCGTTGTAATTTTTCAATAAGCCTTACTGCGACTTAAATCCGAATAACATTCTTTCTCATTTTTTATTCATAGAACATATTCATGAACCGTGGGGCTTATAAAGTTCTTGCGCATCTTAGATTTTTTAATAACTTAATTTCTGTACAAGGTACAAACGTCAAACTCGAATCGAATAAAACGAAATTGATTTTAGGTTTATCCAAAGAATTACTATTTCGTAGTTACCGGTGTTATCTTATTTTTGAAAGAGACGCTTCAACATTTTCTTAAACTTGCCTCGATTATAGCTTTTCTTACGATAACGTTTTAAGGTATTAATTTGCTGAACAGAGCCTCGCTTTACAAACAATCTTCGTGCTGAGATAACAAATACGACCGATCTCATAATCCAAGAGCAATAATAACGATACGAGTATTTAAAAGTTTCAGAAACGTACGAATACTTGTATTTAAGAAATTTGTAAAGGAAATACCTACGTAGCAGGTATTTGAAGATATCGCGTTTTAGGTCGGGCAATTGCGTATCGTCTATAAAATTGTTTGTAAAAACAGTGCGTCATAAAATTATTCGCAATTGGAACGGTATAGTGATTTGTAAAATCAACTAGACGCAGCATGATGCGTGATTTTGCGATGAAATAATGGGCGTGCACCCACAAAATCGATGCCGCGCGTTTAAGGAGCGTGTACATTGTACGCGTATATACATACACGCATACATATATCGGTGCGAAGTCCTATCTCGCTCGCTCGCGCTGCATGCGCGCGTCCATGCGTAACATTATATCGAGGCGTGGAAGTTTGTGTGTGGCGCGCGCGCTAAACCGTTCGTTAAGCATTCGCTACGCGTAGTCATTGAATTGAACTTCAACGTTGCCACTGACTAGGTTCATCGACGCTCGCAACTCGCGCTTCCGTTTCTTCCACGTCGAGTTAATTCGACGGAAAACAGATGTGCTCGTTGATCGAGGCGGTATGTACGAAAAACGTATCTATCGTAAACGATAACATTTTTCACCCTATTCGATAGCTATCTCTCGCGATAGTTTCGACTAAACTACTTTAAATAAAATAACGATTAGACAGATCGACGTTAGTCGATATCCGAATAGATGCCCGGATGAATGAATAATTT